GATCCAGCTCCCTTGCATAGAGAGAGAGAGTGTGTGTGTGTGTCTGTGTGTTTCTTTGTAAATACCAGGGGGAAATAGATAGAAGCTTCCTAACTTTTATGTTTGCCAATAATATCAGTTGTATCCTTTGGCTTATTAATTATGAAAACTGTTGTCTTTCTTAGGGGCTGCCAAGTGTTATGTTTCTTTCCTTTCACATAGGCTAGCTTCACATGAAATTTGGCATAATTGTTTTTTTTTTTTTTCCTTTTTCCTCTTTATTTATGAAACCATTTTCTTTGGTTTTGTTTTGATATTCTGGAGCCTTGTCATGTAATTTGTTTTGCTCTTACTGTTTACTGAAGCAGGTGACACTGCCTAACCTGGTCAGTTATCACCCAGACACAGCCGGAAGTGTAGAAGAAACTCCAGTTTCCTGGGACACACACGTGGGGAGTAAACAGAGATTTAGAAATAGTCTGTCAATTATTAATCCAGATTCATTTAAATAAAAGAATATTTACCATTTTCTATCTTCTCATTTTTATTATCTGTACACATAGCAATTACAAGAAGACACTGATGTACAAAATGTACAAAATTTCTTTATACTGGGCAGTAATTACCTGGAATTAATGTGAGTGTGAGCTGAAGGGGGAAAAATGATAACGTGTTATTTTCAGTATTTCTACTGCGGCCTCTCCCCTCCCACCCCGTGCCTCCAATTGTCTCCTAAATTAGAAGCAAGTATTGTTTCTGTGGGGGGATTTTATTTGCTTGTTTATTTTCTTCATATTTTTCCCCCCTACCTTTCTGTGGTGGGAGTAAAAGAAAATAATAAGGCATATTATTTTAATAGTCTTCTAGCATGCAGATGATAGAAAGTCAATTTGAAGGAAAAGAAAACGGTGTCAGGCACAATTTACAGAGCATTGCATGGGCTTTAACAGCACTTGTTCATGCGAAGGACACTATCCCAGTAGCTGGCATCAAGGTGGCAGCAGGCCCGTGCTAGCTGCGTTCTGATGGCCTGGGCACAGCTGTATTTCTGCCCTTCCCCAACTTTCTCTGTGCGCCTGGGGTCAGCCACGCCCTGTTATCTGATAACTCACTGTTATCAGTCAACAGTGTATCATAAGGAGGGGGGCTGCGTTTTAATTCACGATTTCCTCTCGAAACTCAACCAAGGAGTGTTAACTGTGTGTGTGTGTGTGTGTTTTAAAATTCAGTTTTGTATGCTAGCATTCTTTAAATGTCTGCCAGAAGTTTAATTTGAATTTCTGATCCCTGAAGGCAGCTAGACAGAATCATTCTAGTTCTTCATAAATTGCCTTCTATGATTCATTGTTAACTCATAAAACACACTCATTTCTATATACTCAAACAGTTAAGGTAGTTACAGTATTGGGCATATAATTTTTTTTTTGGCATCATATTTAAATTGTCATTTGAGAAAGAAAGAAAAGAATTCTATTGAACTTTCAGTTAAGCACGAGCCCCGTGGCATGCAAAACATCAGAAATTAACGTTTTATTCTCAAGGAGGGTAAGCTAGATGGTATAGAATCAGGAAAAAAAAAGTTTAGTTTTGACTAACTACCCTGAAAAGAGGGGCCCATAAAGAAGTAGTGTGCTGCAGTTAAAAATTCACATGACTGTTCTAAATACTATTGATTTAAACCACTGGCTAGATTTTATGAATCAAAGTGTAATTTCTAAGCTTTGGTCATATTTCTCAATGCTAAAGCACTCTCTCCTGTGTGCCTTTAGCTGCTTTCCAGACATTCAACACAGGATTAAATGATAGTAGTTACAGTGATCAATAGGTTAAGACCGGTACAATCACTCTTGCCGCTAATGACCTCAGTAGTAATGGGCAATAAAGTGTGGGCTATAATAGCCTCTCGCTGGTACTGCATGCCCTTTGAATCCTAGTATTAGCAGGGCCTAGCTACATGAAAAAGTTGGATGTTGGGAGTTAAGGGAGTGGATATATAGGCTATAATTCTTAACTATTTAAAGCCTTGAACTGTGCTCAGAATTTTTTTTTTCTTTTTTCTTTTTCCCTTTTTCACCCCACAGGGGTTCTGGTCCATTTGAATATGTTTGTGAAGGCTTCCCATAACCTATTTTCATGACATGCTGGAGCAGAAACTTGGCAGAAATCTCAGTTTTATCACATTTATCAGTTAATCTCAAGCCTATTGCAGGGGCACAAAGCTAACCTGGTGTGAAAATGTGGTTTCAGATAGTACAATCAGCGTTAGGGCCATCGTGATGTAATGGCCCACTTCTGATTGTCCAGGCACCCGATCACCAGGCTGGAGGGTTGATTACTTAGGCTGTTGGCCTGTCCCTCTTTTGGCTGTGCCAGCTACTTTGGCATTTCACTACTCATCAGCACCTCCATCAAAATGTCCAAAGGGAGAAAAGGAGACCGTCTCAGGTTCATTTTACTGCTCTCTAACAGGACTACAAGATGCAAATAGTTATTAAACTATGGGAAATGGTTTAAACTATTGGCTACAAGTAAGGGTTTAACATTATCTGTATATGTCAGTTCTTCCTTGTTTAACACATTTTAAATCGATTACACTGAAGCATAATTTCCGTACAATAAAATGCACTCACTTTAAGTGTACAGTTGAAGGAATTTGGGCAGTTGTATACATCTGTGTGACCAGCACCCCAGTAGAGAGCCGGAGTCCCGTCGCCTCCCCCCCCACTCCCCGCCACCAAAGTCTCTTGTCTCCCTTCCTAGCATAGGCTTTCCATCATTCTTTTAAAAGGTATGACCCAACAGGTTGTCTCTGTGATAATTTCTGTTATAACACTGTTAATTTCATGTTCATCACCAGTTTAGATCTTACACCGCCCTATTCCTGTCTGTTTTCCTGTTCATCACCAGCAGAAATTTGGCTCAAGAATATTTATATTGTACACCATCCAAGAAACGCAGAGGAAAAAAGAAACCTTAAACATGGTTCTTTTGTTTGCTTAACGAAACCTCCCTTATGATGATGCAACTCTCAAGGAAAAAGTAAACTTCTATTGTGATATGTTGGCCCTAGCAGCTCAGAAGAAAGTGATTGGCACCCGGGACATACTGCAAAACTCAGAAAGTTCCTTGTGTGTGGAGACAATGTAGACCAGTTGGAATTAATTTATAGACGGCTAGGTGTTTTGATAGTGTCTTGTGTTTGCCCTAGATTGAATGCAAGTTCACTGTTCTAATCATTGGTGGTATTTCGTGCTGTGAAATATCTTTTTAAAAGGATAATTTATCCATTCATATACATCTGTCCCTTTTTGCATATAAAAATATTCAGACATGCCCATCTGTTTTAAATTACAGTGTATCTACATCTACACTTAAAAGGCCACTGCATTAGGAAGAATTTGTTGATGACCTTCCAGAGTTGGGTTAATGAAATTTTTCAAATGTTCTAGCTAGTGTTTTCCAAACAGTGTGAAACTTGCATGTAAACATCCCCCACAAAACATGCCCACAACAACAGTGGGGATGTTCACTGTACATGAATCTGACCTTCAGGAACCATTTTTAGTTCATCAAAATTAGTGATGCTGAGAAATCGGGACATCAGTGCATAATGACTGTGAAATTAGGAATGAGAGCTTGCTATGCAAATGACAGGACAAATCATGTGAAAAAGTCAAGATAAACTGCATATTAAGACATTATGTTACATAAAATTAATACTGCATTTCTCCCTTTTGCTTACTGCTCCCCTGAAAGATTTTTTAATTCTTTTATCTTCTGATCAGCTATTGTCTGCTGGTTTTTTTTTTTTAAGTGGCACACAGGCAAAGTGCAAAACATGTTATTACCTTTTATTGTAATACATGAGATGACAGCAGATCCTTTTTAACAAAGTATATCCTTTACTGCTTCTAGATTCTTGCTGTCACATGTATGATTAGAAACCAGTGAAAAGTAAGATGCTTAAATATTACTGTTAGAAGACATACAGGTTTTGTCTTCTCTTTCATTGTTTTTTTTCTTTCCTTATCTTTTTATTTGGGGGGGCTGATTTTTCATGAAATAGTCTTCTTGTATTACGGGGACTGACAAAATGGTTCTCATGTAGTCTGCAAATTAAACACAAGTGCAGTGATTATTTTGAATAGCTAAATTACATTCTAGAAAGCTTGCAGAATTCATAGCATTGTCATTAGGTATCCGCTTGAATACAATTTGTGTAACCTTGGCCAAGACAGCCTGTCATTTTAATGTCAGTGTTTTATCTGAACAAGACATCATCCTTTCAGATACACTGTGCAGGTTTCTCACAGAGATGCCCGTGCAGAAACGTGTTAACAGTTGCAAATATGAAATGCTATCAAGTTCATCACTGTAGCTGTTTGTCACTGAAATGTCATGGAAAGCGGCTTTTAATGGTATCGCACATAATATGAAAGAATTGAGACATCTGTATGCTGGGTGAGTAGGGAAGGGTAAAAGGCATCCTAGGAAGGGCCTGTGTTTAAGTTCAGAAGGTGCGTCCAAGGTTCAGTTACCCACAAGACTAAGCATTCATTGACTGCTCTTAAAATCATTGTGCCCAGAGGAAGTGGATCCCATTAGCTCCAGCCACGAAGGTACTGGTTCCCATTTGCCTTCTTCCCTAAAACAAAATTCAGGCTTGCGTTAACTTTGTACAGCTCATTGTGACGAAGACCCATTCTTAATAAGAAACTGAGATTGTTCTAAGCTAACTCCAGAGACCATTTGTTGAACCCTGACCCCTAGTGTGCTTGCGAGACTGCTTGGAACACCTCTCAGTACTGTTAGCATTTCTCTTCCTTTCCTTTATACCAAATAAGCTCCATCATAGATGCAGTTGGAGCTGTGGCTGCATCCCCTCTGGATAAATCTGTGGTGCATGGGACGCTGATCAGTTCTAGAAGCGGGCCTATGACAGTCTGCGCTGAACTTGGAAGGCTGAGCGCTGCGTGCGTGAGATGTCCTGGCTTCCTATTTATCCTTCGTTAACATTCTAGGTTCCCGTGTCAGTGGCTATGATGACACCTCAAGTTATCACTCCCCAGCAAATGCAGCAGATTCTCCAGCAACAAGTGCTGAGCCCTCAGCAGCTCCAGGTTCTCCTCCAGCAGCAGCAGGCCCTCATGCTTCAACAGGTAATTGTCCACTGCCCCTGGCCTCCCGTGAAATCCAGCACCCACGACTCCGCTCAGAGCCCCTTTTTCCAGGGCGGCACCTGTGCCCATTGCAGGGTGGGGTGGGTGGGGCAGGACACACATCCTCCTGCATAATCCCCTGCATTTGCATCCCTGGAAGAGAAGGACCCTGCTGAACCGACTTGGGCTTGGGCCTGGAGAGGACCCGATGGACTGAGATTAGGGCTGTAATTGGACTTGGTAAAAATAAGGTATTTTAGGCTTATGTAGCTTTACACTCTTTTATTTGGTAAGCCCAGAGGCTTCTAAATGGCGTGAATCAAAGCAAAATGGGGAGCATACTGGGAGCAGGTTTAACTGTGACAGCTCTTGAAGTCCCCATTTCAACTCAGGAGCTTACAGAATTTTTCCTTTAAACATAAAGAATCAGAAGCTTACAGAATTCTTCGAAATGTAGAGAAGAAGCATTTTGGGATTGGTTAATTTTAAGGTGCCCAGTTGATTTTACTTCTGTGATGTATGCTGGTGGTGGAAATGAACTTGTGGCTGCCACTGAGCGATGGGGACCTAATATTTCAGACTGCATGGACCCCCTGAACCGAACAGAGGAGGTTCATGCTGGAGTGACAGGACTTGCTGGGGGTCAGGTGGCGGGGACAGGGTGCAGAGCAAGCTGCCCAGGCTGTCACTGCCGCCCCTCAACACTGCGCACCTGTCATTCAGGAAGCGTGCTCACGGTTCTCGGTAGAGATTCACCAGACTCAGAAAGGGTATTTTGGCTTTGCTGTATAATCAAAGGTCATTCCCTGCCTTATTTTAATTAGTTTGTCTAGAAAACGGTATGTTTTTCATCAGTTCATTTTAGAGATTACTTTTCAAACAATGATGCCAAGAATAGTCAGGGTGTGCTGAAATTTATTGTTCAGTTTCAAACTAAAGGTCAGGCCATTATAGATAAAAGGATGCTATTTTTCAAATCACAGTTGTGTATGGCACCAGCAGGGACAGTGGATGGGCGCTACCCTCTGTTTCTTACCGTCCTCTCTTTCCTTTGTAGCAGCAGCTTCAAGAGTTTTATAAAAAACAACAGGAACAGTTGCAGCTTCAACTTTTACAACAACAGCATGCTGGAAAACAGCCTAAAGAGGTACCAACAATACGTATTTTACTTTCAAACCACAGATCCCAGAGGACTATCCAGTGGCTATTAAACTGTCATTCATCTTTCAAATGATTGCACAACCAAGCTGACTCTGTCGGCTCTCAGCCTTCAGCCCAGGAGTTATTGTCCTGTTTCCTCTCCGATTTTTTCTGGGTCCCCTTTGCTTGTTGTCACCTATTTGATATCACCAGTGCAGGCATGTCCTGTGTGAGCACCGGGAAGTGGAGTCTGGGGCAGAACCTTCTAGGTACTTCTGCAAACTGGTACAACTGAGGGCCCAGAGGCACCTGGGGGAAATGAGGTGCATTGAGTAAAATTTTTCTTGGACGCACCCTTGGTGTTTTTTGAACCCAGAGAGCTTGGGTGTACAGCGATGGCCTTTGAAGGATTAATCTCTTGTGGGATTCAACAGATAGAACAAAAAAGTCAGAACAAGATTGAACACCCCTGTCTCTGTTGAACCTCTTCCTGCAGGTTGTACATATCATAATTGCTAAAGGGACGTATGTGACAGAGATCCAGCGTGCACAACACTTTGTACTAGCTCCGGGGTTCCTGCACGTGCCACCCCACCCACTGAGGTGACAGTATTAGCTCTGTAAATGCTCTGGCCTTCCCAGGAAGGGGTTCCATCTCACCATGTACACAGTTCTGTGGATGCAGCTCAGGCGGTTGGGCAAGCATCTGTGCACATGGATGCATTATCATGACATCTTTCTGCCTATTCCCAAGTTATCTGATGCCACTTACCCCTCCTGTTCTTACAGTGGATGGAAATTCTTTTATTTAAGAGTTCTCCTTGGAATGATGCAATTTATTGCTTGACAAACAGCTCAGAGTGCGATTTAACAGCTTCTTTAACTGGCCCTAAAGCAGGCGGCCACTTGCATTGCTGTGGTCTCACCAGGCAACTCTCTCCACATCCCTGTCCTTCTCGTGATCATGGATGCCAGGCGGCACTAATTCTCCGCACTGGGAATGACCCAGACAGTCTCCCTTTGCCGGCTCCTCCCTCAACACAAATTGGGTACCTTTTCCATGCCCTGCCAAGTTAGCAGCCTGGATCTAAACCCCTGCCGAGAAGGGGAGGTTTCGGGGTGCCGGGGAGGAGGTGTTTTAATGAAAATGCTGACACAACCTTAAGTAGAGTGGCGCGCTACCAGGCGCTGCTATAATAAAAAAGGGACCAGATTAAAAAGTGTCTAAAATGTAAATCTAAAGGACTAACAGTAATTAAAATGGAAATGGCACAGGGAGGGAAGGCATGTAATTGTGAGATATCACTGTGCAGAAGGCTCTCAGCTTTGTTTTGCTGGCTGTTTTTCTAATTCAGTAGGGCTTACTCATCAGTGGCAGTTCAATGCGCGCTAATGACTCTGGGATCGCAGGCATCACTCTGGACAAAGAAATGATTATTGTGCGGTCAAAAGAAGTTCAAAGACAAGAAGGGAATTTCAGTTTTTTCCTTAGAGATCCACATTCAAGAGCATATAAATTAAGCCAAATGTTAAAAACCACAGTCTGAAAGCTGACTTCAAAGTCACAACTCTCTAATTAATGAACTGCGAGCTTCAGTTTGGACAAGTTGTGGTTTGATGCGCCCATAAATCAACATGACAGGCCTGTTTCGCAGTCTCAGACAGTGCTTGTCATTGAGTCACATCAGATGTAAACACAGCAGAAAAAAGAAGGGATATGAAGGAGGTGCAATTGATCAACAGAATTGGTAAAAACCCACTTTTGAAGCACATTATGCATGATCACAGGAAATGGTTACAGCCTCAAGAGGGTTCCCCTTCTGCTGTTGCTTTTTTGAATCAGGTTTCTAACAGCCTTCAAAAGGGAGAATAAGAATTATGGAGTTTCTCCCCTGTGGCTCGCAGGCAATAACCCCCTGTTGTTATTTTGTGCTTCTTTCTTTTCAAAGGCGTCAAAATTTAGTTTTTTAAAGATCTTTAACTCTATATTTGAAGGCAAACAAAAAAAGGGCTGCCACTGTCATTCTTACCAGTTACCAGGGATTGTGTTTTTCCTTTCTGTTGCCACTTCTTATTAACCTCTTACTTGGTCTGGTAGACATGGTTTGGAATGCACGTCCCGCACGCTGGGAGAACATGAAAGTTCAGATGAGCTCAGGGGGCAGATGGAGAAACGTGAAGGGGAAAGTTCCACAGCAGAAGGAAGGATAAAAGTTGACTCTCCCAAATTGGTGCCGCCAGAAAGGGGGCGTTTCGGCACACAAAGGTGACGGTGGCGTTTGAGTTTGGGCAGCGAGTCGGGGCGAAGAGGGAATCCTTTGGGTCTGGAGAAGGAGAAGGTGAGGCTCGGGGGGTAGCACTGTGGATGCTCCAGGACATTTGCTGAGGTCACACCTTGTCATGTTTTGGAGGCGGAGGTGACACAGGAGGTGTGTTGTCTTACATCCCGAGCAGGAGGCAGACCACAGGCAGGTCTCCCCCAGTGCCGGTGGGTCCAGCCAGACCTGTCGACGACGTGATGAAGGTTAGCCTTATTTTCCTGAGAAGTGAGGGGGTCGTCTCCTGAAATTACCATGTAGGCGGTGGTCCTTGTGTATGACAATGAAACGGGGTCACCAGGTAGCAGTTTCATGACATGGCCTAGTGGTTATGATTTTAACAAGGTCTGAGCTTGGATGTTGACAGATGGAACAGGTATATTAATCTACTGAATCCCCAGTCATTAGTGGCTCATAATTTTTAATCGTCAGCACGGCCCCGCCTGCTCCTCACCTTTCTCCCTTTGATTATCTCTGCAGTGAGACACTTGTTCCTTAGCCAGGACAATGTGCCTTTATCTGCCTTTTCCTCAAGTTGGCCTCGAGATGTTTCCCTGAAAAAGTTCGCCTCCACGTGGAGTTAGTTCCAAAACCTTCCCGAGGAGAGACATCTTCTGCAGCCCCATGCAGCTATTTAAATGACTGCTCGTTCATATTTGACGGAACGGGTGTGGAAAGTAGAAGGTGGGATTCATTAAAAGTCAGGCTACAAAAAAAAAAATTCCCATCCTGTACGGGTGAGGTAGACCAAGTTGATTGTTTTAAAAGGGCCGTTTGTCCGAGCAGTTATGACAGTTTATGTTAGGCAGTAGGGAGGAGCCCAAGAAAGGAAAACAGACCTTTGACTGCAGCGCTAGGGAGGGGATCCGAAATGCAAGGTTTATCAGGGCATTTTAGCATTTTAGCACTGACTACTGACCTGTCAGGGGACTGCGCGGAGACCTTTTTTGTATGCATTCAATTGTGAGAAGTAAACAAACGGGCTTGTATCCTGTGTTTGGTAACTGGGTGGGGAGCACAGTTTGGCAACCAGTGTTGCTTTTAAATTCTTTCTTTGGACAATGGGCCTTGTATACTTTTATATCCTGGCGTTTCAAACGTGGACAGCTTTCATGAGCTTTTCTAGGATGGCCACAGAGACAACAGAAAAGCCATCAGTCATTTTATATAAATACAAAGTTTTTAAACATTTCATTTACAGTAAGACAGGAAACACCCTCCCCAAACTCCAGCGCCCCCTCTACCGTCCCCCCACCATCATTTTCTCCTTCAACAAGAGCTAATCCCCCCCATCTTCTATTGTGGCAGTGTTTTTTTTCCCCTTCCTTTCCCCCTTTCTATTAAATGTCTTGAATTAATATCTGTTGAAGAATGCAAAAATCATTTTGACATGAATATAACTATCATTGGGTTTTACATTAATGTGATAACTTGGGAAGGGGTGAAAACAATTGGATCATTTTATGCATGCTGTTCTTAAAATGAAAACACTGGCTTTTCATTTAAATTTATTTAAATTTTTGTTGTTAGTGGTATAGATTTGTTTTTTGGAGTGAAACTCAATTAACTTTCTCAGTGGCATGGTAGTAAGTCTGAAATTGGTTGCTAATATGAGAATGATGGTTTTTACTGTAAAATAAACTACATGGAGACTGAAAGGAAACCACCATTTTTCTCTTCCTTTGAACTTGGCATCAGAAGGTCTTGATACACATACATTTTATGGATGTATCAGATCAAGGTCATGTGTTAGGTTAAGTGAATGCAGTTGTTTGTAAAGTATAGTTATTAGAAGCTCTGAAAGGGTTGCGTAGTCCTTTTAGTTGCGAAAGTCTCTGATGTTTTGAATAATACCCAGAACTAGGAAAATGGATCTTGATCTTTTCTTAAAGAACCTTTGTGGGTGTGTGTGGTGTGTGTGTGTTGTGGTGGGGTGGGTGGGGATTGGGGGTGCGTATGGTTTAAGAAGGGTTAATTTTCTTTCTCAAAATTGTTAGCTATAATGTGGCTAAGACCTACACCTCGATTTGATTCCTAGCAGATTAAGGATATTAGATAATTTCCTTCTATTTATTGTACTAATGCACTGTATTATCTTGCTATCACTCAGATAATTACTGAGGAAATCTACATTAATTTTTTTGGCTGGAACAAGGCCTGCTAAACACAGGAATGATGTATTGATGTTTTACACAACAAAAGTTTTCCTCCTGTCATTGTCCAGTCAACAAAAAGATATTTATCATATCATGGAGCCCCCTTCTTTGCAAGAACAGAGCAGGTGGGGAAGGAGGACAAGCGGGCCGACCTAGGGGTTTCAGAAACTAAAGCCAAGTGAAGGCATCTGAAGCTTCAAGTGTCCTTGTTAAACACTCAGAGTCGAGTACAGTGTTGTTTGCTAAATTATGAATGTGTGTAATTAAAATCTAGTGGCTGTTTCTATGAAAGATTTACAATGTTATTTCATCGTTTGTCATGGCTAATTAACAATATTAGATGAAGTTTTTCTTCTTCAAAGGTCTGATTTTTTCTCATTTATTTATGTCAGAAGTGATAAACAGAGTAGTTAAAAGCTCCCCATGCAGGTGGGAGGGAGGCAACTTGTCCTTTCACACCTCACAGGTCCAGAGTCCAAATCCCTCCAGATGAGACGGATACAGTCTTCTTTCTCACGTGAATAATTTAAAAATTTCCCAGTGCGGAAGCCCACGTCCTGCCTATGAAAGCTCAGGCCCTTTGCACTGTAGGTAAAGCAGGCTGGGCGGCTAGATGGTCCTGGGAAGCGGGCGGCAGAGGGGCGAGACCTCGCCCCCACGTCTCTGGGACTAATGGGTTCGTTCTGTGCCCCGACACCAGTCTCGACACCGAGCCCTCCACCAAGCTCTAGTGACCGTGTGCTTGACGGTGACGGTGTGTGTCGAAATGTCTGTGCTTTAAGCTTGCGTGGGTGGGTGCGGCGTCTCACGTCTCCCTCCTGGTGTCTTGCAGCAGCAGGTGGCCGCCCAGCAGCTGGCCTTCCAGCAGCAGCTCCTCCAGATGCAGCAACTCCAGCAGCAGCATGTCCTGTCCCTGCAACGCCAGGGCCTCCTGCCGCTGCAGCCGGGCCAGCCCGCCCTGCCCCTGCAGCCCCTCACCCAGGGTAAGCGTGCGGGGCACCAGGCGGGACGGGGCGCGTGTACGTGTGCGCGCCTGCGGTAGATGTCCATGGCCACGTGCAGAGGAAGCCGGCCGGGGTGAGAAGGGATGGCCTTCACAGGCGCTGAGGGACATACGCCCAGGGAGGACACAGGCCCGTGTGCAGGCGGCGCCGCAGCAGGGAGCTCCCGCCGCCGCCCAGGGACAGCAGTGCTGCTTTCTTTGATGTATCCAGCCTTTTAATCAGATATCCTAGTGTCTCAGTTTGGAATCACAAATGAATTTCTCGAAGGCTTTGGTTAGTCATTCGCAGATGTATTTTATATCCAGTGACTTGTCCTGTTTTAAATCTTGGTAATGCTTTATAAATGCCTCTTTTTTATATCTAGGATAAATTCAGATTTATCCTTCTGTAAGCAATTAAAACGAATCTCTTTCTGTTACAAAAGACAGAGCTGTTTATTGGTGAGTTCTCTCTTTTTTCCTTTCTCTTTTGCACTCCTCTGACTGCTGGTTTGTGAGCAGCGTAGTTCTGCAGCCATCAGAACAGGTCGCGGTTCCATCTCTAAGCTCCTAGCTCCGCAAAAACTGGAATTCCTTGAAAAGCAACCAGATTTCAGGGATTCAAGAATTTCTTTTGAAAAATCATTGGCATGTTCTTCCCCTGGGTGTTAGGCACGGGCAACAAGTGAGTACTGTCGCTGTTTTTAAGGCACCCTCTTGGTTTAGAGACTCTTTCGCATGTGTGATGTGAACACAGATGGATTATTCAGAACTAGAAGGACGGAGGGAAGAGGCACGCTGTGTTTTGAAATACGATCCCTCCATCCCATACCTGGCACAGCCAGATGTCAGTTGCCTCCTGAAACTCCCCATTCTTTCAATTCCAGTACATTTGGATGTGTGTGTATACATATATATGTGCCTTAAAGGCTGGAAGCTGCAGCCTTAGGTTCAGTTGCCTTCTGAAGGGGGTTGAAATGTGGAACTTCCTCTACCCTTCATGGGGTTGAAGGCGCTCCATCATTTGTTCAATAACTTTTGGTGTCAGATGGAGCCGGTGAGGCATGTCTACATTTGAATCTTCTCTCTTGAGTCCAGCACACCCCACTTCTGTCCTTTCTGGCTTTTTTTTTCGTTTCTGTTTGTGTTTTCAGTGTTGAGACCAGGATAGTGTTATCATGTCCTCCTTGCCCCACCTCCCCATTCTGGCCATCACTGTGCTACTGCTTGGTACATAATCACCATGTCCATTACTGTCAAGATAGAGGATTTGCTAACTGAGCAGTACAAAGGGAAAAGAAAGGACACAGGGACTAATGCATTTTTGTGCTTGGAAGATGTTACAACGTGCATTAATTACACCTTCGGGTTCGTTGGCAGAAGCGTTGCAGGCTGTTCCGACGCACCCACCGGTCTCAGGCTTCAACCTCTCATCTTTTCCCACCGCTCCTATACTATTAAGTTTGCTCACTAAGGCTCATTGTTAGAGTACCTCAGTTAAGCTGTCCAGAGGAGGTCACTTGGGCAGCGACAAGACAGGCTTGTGGATAATGGGAAAGAAACGAATGTGGGAGGCACGCGGTGTAATCTCTGCAGTAACATAGCAGAGACTCCGGCAGGTAACTCACCAGTCATGGCATTGATTGATAGGCCCAGCAGTCTGCTCTGTTAGCCCCTGCAACATTCGGAAGACGCATCTTTAAAATCTCAGGAGGCCTTTATGTGTGCCCAAGATGCATACACGTAAATAAATACACATTTTTCCAGAGCTGGGTTCTCGCAGTGGAGCACACTGCTAGAGTCACTGCCATCTTCCGTGGAATGGGGAGGTTGGTTTTGTCTTCCTTACACCGTTGCCCAAAGTGGCTGGTGAATTCAGTCATATTGGAGTACAACACAATTTTTTTTTTGATCGAAGACATGATAGCTTAAAACTGATGTCATTATGAGGTTTAAATCAACTTTCTGCCTGCTTGAACATGGTCACCTGGGTACACATGTACAAGGACAAAAAAAGGTTGATCAACTGTTTGTCTTTGAGCCAGTGATACCTGGGGTTGTAAAATTGAGTTCCATGAACAGTAATCTGTCAACTGTCCCCACAACATACATTTTTTAAACCTGTGTCCGCATTTTCTTTTATAATGAAGGCGCCGGTTGTCCTGGAAAAAGGAATGTAGCAAGGCACAGGGGTCATGTGTTAAAAATGCTGGTAACACCCACTTTATGATACCATGGTCAGGATTCTTTTACATACCTGCTCATGGCCTTGGCTGAGTCACCTTTGACATGTAGGTAAATTTCAATGTATGAATAGAGACAAATACTTTGAAGGTCTCTGGGTTTTTTCTGTCAAGCCTTTATATTTTTATGTAACAGAAGGTTTGTTGTTTGTAAGGTTACCATACGGTCTTCTATTTTGCTTAATTAACAATTTAAGGCGAATTGCCTTGTGACAGACAGGGTTTATGATTGCTTGTAGGTGTCCTTTCAAAGGTACTGCTGCTGCTTCACCCTGTTTTCCTCAGTCACCTGAACCTCCCTGACACCAACAATCACATGTAGCAATACACCTCAATATCATGCTGGCTTTTAATTTTTAAAATACAAACTGTAGAGAAAGTTACATGCTGGATTATGTACCTGTTAGTAGATTTGTTTAACTCAGTACTGTTATTCCTCTCTATCATTTTGGAAGACATGCATGATGGTGTTTGGAAATTTGATAGCCATTTAGTCTGCTGAATGATTAGCATCCCTTTTTGATCTGTCTTAATTCTATAATGATAGAGTCTTACAGATCTTGGCCATCAGGTGACAGCATCCTTTGGTCGGTGGTTTCCACTGAACAACAGTTGAACATCACTAACAAGGTGTAGCATTGGTAGAAGAAAGTGATTTGACTGCTTCTCTGTAAATCTGATGAGAATGTTCTTAGAACTTATCATACTGAAGTTTGACCCAGAATTACCCACGTTACCAGTCAGTGAGTTCTATTTTATTTACCATTTCTCCCTATGCGTGATGAAACTGCATGGCTTGCCCACTGGAATAAAAGGAGAATACAGCAGCTGTAGGGTAACAAGGCTAATAAGACATCCATCTTGGTCTTTATTTGCTGGGTAAACACTTTACTTCCCAAACAGCTTTAAAGTTCTCCTTTTTCTTGGAGAGAAGGTGTTAACACAGTTATTAGAAACCATGCCCTTCCAGCTTCCCAACTCCCATGCCACCAACCCAGAAATCAATTAGTTGGAGTTGAAATTAGGCAGTTTGTCATTTTTGTGCATTCTTAGTCTCTAGAAAATAAAAATAGGTGTTGACTTGTGTGGCTTTCTATCAGTATGCTATCGTTAACAGACAAGACTGCACTATTGTTTCCATTGAGTTAACAGTGGTCCAAGGGTCAGCCGCACTCACAGGTAATTAATAGTTGTTGTGCAGACACCAGCAGCAGGCCTCTTAGCTACAGACGCATACATCCCACGTGTCACCTCGCAAGGTTTTTGAAAATAATAGCCCAGATGCAGCATAAGCGGACATGGGATTGTGTAGTGACCTTTCCCTTTGTTTAATTTGCCTCTGAGGTTTAATTTCAGGGGACAAGTAATAATTGAATATGCCTAATAACTAAATGCTCATTTGGGACAAAATCCATCAAAATATAATTGGCATTTGATTTTTATGAAGGAAGAAGAAAACTGGCTTGGCTGTCGAGGATGCATTCTAAGAATATCTGACCGCTTAATGTATCATTTGAAACCTCCTTTATAACATATATTAATTGCAAATACTCGCTCATTTGAACATTTTTCGTGGAGAACCGTTAGGAGAGACCAACTATTTTTGTTAACGCTCCTCTCAGAAAGGCGGGGAAGGTTATTGGTCCGCTGTGCAATAATTTACTCCTCTTTGATATGCAAACGATCCACGGTGAATATAAAAAAATCCTATCAGACTCATTTCACAGTTCTTAACCACTCGGATTCTCTGGAGTCCATCGCCTCATTAGACCAGTGCTCTCCAATGCCAGCATAATTAAAATCTTTAACAGTTTAGCAAAGTAAAGATGTTTGGCTGATCACGTTGAGATGATTATCTATCCATTGTATTCTAAACGACAAAAATAAATTAAATTTAGACCTTGGCATTTTTTATTATGTGTTTCAAATGAATATAATGCACACAGCCTTCTTTTTTTAATTCAGTACCTTAGGTTTGGTAAGAAACATGCCTGTTTCAGTTGCTGCTATATAGTCAGAAAATGGCAGGCTTTCTAGGATAGCGACGTTACAGCTGGTTGAAACAATGAGCCGCAATCCAGACGTCCAGTTTTAAGGCAAATTACCTTATGATAGGCAGGGTTTATGATTTTTTGTAGGTGTCCTTTCAAAGGAACTGCTGCTGCTCTTACTTGCCACTCAGAACATTTTTCTTCTGTGCATATATATTCTGTGCTACAACATTCACTGAGGTGTAGGATTTGGACATTCTGGGCTGTAGAAGCATGAAGCTGGAGGCTGTGAGGCCACCATAGTGAGATGGGTGTACTGAGTGGATCTCCTCGTGGGGAAAATGCAGGTGGTTTGACACTTAACTTCTTAAGACCCCTGTCCATTTTGACCCCCTTAAGAAACAAGAAAACTTCATTATTCCAGGTTTGTTTTACGTTTCCATTTTATTCTGCAATGGTTCATTAGCACTGATCTAAGAAATGACAGTAATAACAGTGTTACTTGTATAAAAAGTTCTACAGTTTCTTAGTAGACACATCCATCAATTAAGCATGTGGTACTAGAAACCAAAATTAATGAGGAAGATAGGTGTGTTAATGAAATAATCATAGTATAATCAATTTGAATGTTAAAAGTTGAAAAGCATTTCAGGAAGATGCCGTGAATTCATAACTTACGTCTAAAAGTGATTAATAAAAACTGTATTTAATAACAAAGCTATTTGTCATCATTTAAGACTTAACACAAAAATTATTCATTTGGCGGTTTATGTTGTCATAATAGTATAGTTAAACAAGTTTAGTTTGAGCTGTGCTTTGAGTCTAAAAATACGTTAACATCTATCTACTGTTTTCCAAAATCTAAAAACAACCATTTGGATAGAGGCACACACCACACCGTCTTTGCAGGGTGGCTGTGTTTTGAATCCCTCTCCCCGGTGTCTTTTATGTGTGATGAAGGCACTTCAGCCTGGCTGCTCAGTGGGAGGACACGGTTGTTACTACTGTATTTGCCTTGGTTGTGGGGCGGGGGGAACCCTGCACACACCCAAAAGCCCCCCTTGACACTAGGCTTTGTTTACTGACTCTTTGATTTAATTACTGTTTGAAGAGGACGGAATTAGCTGTTAATTGATTTAATTATCCAATTTGTTTGTTTCAGGCATGATTCCAGCAGAACTGCAGCAGCTCTGGAAAGAAGTGACAAGTGCTCATACTGCCGAGGAAACCCCAGGCAGCAATCCCAGCAGTCTGGATCTGTCCACCACATGTGGCTCTTCCTCTGCCCCTTCCAAGACGTCCTTACTCATGAACCCACATGCCTCTACCAACGGGCAGCTCTCGGTCCACACTCCCAAGAGGGAAAGGTAGGAACAAGCCACAGCACTGTATCCAAAACTGTCGTGTCTGTGTGTGTGTGTGTGTGTCCATGCACGTGTGACCACATGTGCACACGCAAGTGCGTGCTCGGGGGTGGCCTTACCTCGCCATATCTCCGTGGTCCCTGATTGGATCCATGTGACTTGAAGGTGCATATCATTACTTAAGAATGTTTCCAGAATGGTTTGGGTGTGAAGCATCTAATTAATTATTTTTACCTTTAGGACCCTCACGTAGATTTAAGCTTAGGAATCCAGGCCGGGTCTTTTCATGGCTTCTTGGATGGGTTGGATTTCCAGGCTTCTAGGCTGACTCTTTCTGCCAAGTGCTCACTCCGTACAAGTTGAATTCCTTGGCTCTGGACCACCTCTAAGGGAGTGGTAGTGTCTGCTGTAGACAATTTTGAATCACAGCTTCGGAAAAGGTAAAACTGGTGCTGCTCTACACTGCCCTCCCTGGAAGCAGGGAGCCCGTCTCCTGCATCGTTGTGTCCCCAAAGCTCGTGGCCTCTGTCCTAGTAAACTTGAGTGAAGTCTGAAGGATGGAGAGATGGAAGGGGTCCATGTGTATACACACATACACACAGAGCATACTTCTTAATCTTGGGCTATATAACAGTGTTGTCTCAGTTGCTATATTCCTGTTTCAAAATTAAGTCTTTATATTTTCTAATTGCCATGAGCTTACCCTTGAATGTTAAGCTGACTCTGAGATTGCTGTAGAGATCCAGAATATGTCATGTTAACATGCTAACTCTTAAGAAAATGAAGCTGTTAATTCCTGTTATCGTATGTTAGTACCCAGAAGCATTAATACTACTACTGAATGCTTTTCAAAAGTGGAGTATGCTTCTAATATTAAAAACGTTTTTCAGTTCACTATATTTAAACAGTTTCCTATGTGTTTCGTATGCAGAGCTTCCACACACAGAAGAAAAGAAACTTTGAAAGTAATATGTGATAGTAAATGCCACTTCCATTAGGAAAAACAAATTCTATATTTTGTTTTTTTAATAAAAAAGACTCAGTGAAAATTACTTTAATTAGTTAAAATATAATTTCATGTATTTCTTGCAGTACTGAGCATTAGGAAGCCCATACATAGGTTTGATTAGATGTGGGTCTTTTACCAACAGCTTGTATCCATTTAGAGATTTGTAATTGCAGGGTGTTATCTGAGTGTGAGTGTGTGTGTGTGTGTGTGTGTGTGTGTGTGTGTGTGTGTGTGTGTGTGTCACGTTCAAGCATAAAAACTGAGTGGTTTCCAGAGATGGGGATAATATGTGTTTAAGCAAAACCTGAAACTGTCAGTCCAAGATCATTTTGAAATTCCTGTGGCAGACACGGAAGAACTAAAAGATGCTTTAAACTTACTGGGTTAGAAGAGTTTGAAGGATAGACTGGTGGACAGTAAGAATCAGCTTGGAGCCATGGGGCCACGTGTGGCTTCTGTTGTTTCCATGAGATTTGTATGTCTGGAGCCAATCTTAGCTCCTTGCTTTACTATCTCTTATGTCTTTGTAACTTCAAAAATAAAACACTAAAACTTAGATAGTTTTAAAGAGAAGGTTCTAGGTTGTTGTCCTTTGCTGTACTTGTTTCGGTGCCCTGAGGTTGATGCTGTCCATTTACTGCGGAGTGATTGAATTACATACTTACCGAAGGCAGAGTGGGAGGCCATACACTGAAAAATGCCGACCGAGGCACTTAAGGTATTTGTTGCTATCTCGTCAGCCATTGTGGAGCCTGCACGGATTCCCTAGGACATAGAAAACCCTTCTTGTTTAGATGCCCTGTGCTCAGTTTCATTCTAAAAGATTAGGTTATGTATCTGCAGTCAGGTGATAGATGAGCAGCAGGGAAGTGGGAAAAGAGCAGCATTTTTTCAGGTATTAGGACATATTTGAAAGTAAGTGGATCTAAGAGACCAATTCCAGGAAAATAAGTTTATTTTCTTATGATCCTTCATTTGTACAAAAGTTGGGCCTAATCTTCATCTTACTACCTGCCAAAATTAAAATATGAATCAGAAAAGGATTTGGGTTCCCACTGAGCTTAATCTGGATGCAAAACAGAATGAATTTTCCAATTGTGAATGCAGAAAGGAACAGCAGTGAAATTATATATTGGTACTTAATCTCTCGGATCTCTCAGTTTCTCTGATCTTATAGGTTCCTAGTTGTGTGTGGATTGAAAGAAAAGTCTAGTGAGCACATTGTAAATGCAGATAGTGAACAAGACACATCTTTTAAGTTAAAGAGAATTCCAAAAGTTAGAAATGTACAGAACTGATGGTTAAAAACTCAGTTCTGAGTTAACCAGCTTTGTGTACATTTAGGTTCTTATAAGGACTATTACATGATTTTTACCTTACTATGGTTTATTTTAAAATCATGAATGTGGTATCCTCTTTAAATAGTGGTCTCCCTGGCCCTCTTTAAATAGTGGACAATGGTAAAAAAGAAAGGAAATAGAAGTTATCTTGTAAAAATACATTCTTGCTTGTACACTGGGTTAAATTCTCCCCAGGAGTCCCTGTGAGAAGCTCCATCCCTTCCTTATCCATGCACCCAGGAAAGCCGTGCCTTTCTCAGCTCTACCTTGATTTCAGTGCACTGTTCTTCCTGCTCTGCTCTCCTGGTGCAGTGGCTGATTCAGCCCGAGCCCCTGCCACACTGAGTAATAATCTAGCCCCTCAGGTTCGCAGACTAAGAATCCTGTCTGAAAAGATCCGGGAGCACTCGAAGTGAAAATGCACGGGAAAAAGGCAATGGCGAAGAATTTGTTTGTTTTTACAATACTGAGATGGTTAATAATCTCAGCTGGGCTGCATATTTCCATGCCGTTTGGAGAACTCCTACCCCCGCCTCTTGCCCCCGTGCATTTTGCGGGCTGGGCTCCGGGGAGCAGCCGCTGCTGCAGCCACGCTGGGGTTTGGTGAGCTGCAATATGTTAAGGAGATAAAGAATGTGCTTGGCACGACACTGCTAGTCTCCTCTTCAATTTGTCTTACACAAGGAAAATTATAATTAAATCATTCAGGGTAAACCCTTGAGTGCCGAGAAGGGAAAATACACACTTTGGTAAAGATTGCCAATAGACCTCACTTCCCCGTGGTGCAGGGCAGACATTTATCAATATTCAGCACTGTTGCGATGGGAGCCCCCGTGTGATTGGTGAGGTGGATGCCAAGGCTCAAATCAAGGCTCGTTGAGATCCTGTCCCTGCTCAATCACGGACCTTCAGCATCATTAGAATTCAGTACTGGTGCTGCGCTTCGTGCTTCTGATTTTCCTCCAACAATTTAATAATGTTTATTGTGCCGGTTGTATATAAAATCTTTGGTGCAGTAAGCATACCTCCGTTGTCCATGCCTGAGGGAAGCATGGTGGGTAGGAAGGTGGGCAGAAGCCAAAAGGAGCTGCGAGAGGAGGCAGGGTATTCATGCCTCTTCCTGTCATTTTATTGCACGGCAACAGGGGCATCATGACATGGCAGAGAAGAAGATACAGCTCAGACCTGGTATTCCTGTAAACATGAAGGCATTATCTGGTTTCCTTAGCTTGTCTATCTCGCTTAGGAAATTCCAGGTTTTGATGTGGGTAAACAAAATGCACGGAATGCAAATGAAACATTTATTAAAGTGCTAAGTTTAGTAAAGCCCTTTGAGCTTCTTGGATCAAAACAGCTATGTAAATACAAATAGCAATTACTGCTTAAGTAATTGCCCGAATTAAAATTCTAACTATCACATTAGATTATGGTGCAGTAGGGAGAGGGATGGCGGTTCTCATGTAATCATTTCTCTCTCTGTGCCAAGCACTGGCCAAACTCTTGCCTTTGGAGTGATGCCTCATTTTGTCCCCATCAACACCTGGAAACAGTAAGGATTCTTACACCCATTTTACAGATGAGGAAATTGAGTCATTGAGATCAAATAACTGACCCAGGGTCATGGAACTGGTCTGTTATCTCAGATCCAAAATTAAGGCTATCTTTTTTTTTTTTTTAGAGGGCATCTCTCATATTTATTGATCAGATGGTTGTTAACAACAATAAAACTCAGTATAGGGGGTCAGTGCTCAATGTACAATCATTAATCCATCTCAAGCCTAATTCTCGTCAGTCTCCAATCTTCTGAAGCATAATGAACAAGTTCTTACATGGTGAACGAATTCTTACATAGTGAATAAATTCTTACATGGTGAACAGTACAAGGGCATTCATCACAGAAACATTCGGTTTTGATCACGCATTATGAACTATAAACAATCAGGTCAAATATGAATATTCGTTTGATTTTTATACTTGATTTATATGTGGATCCCACATTTCTCCCTTTATTATTATTATTATTTTTATTTTTAATAAAATGCTGAAGTGGTAGGTAGATGCAAGATAAAGGTAGAAAACAGTTTAGTGCTGTAAGAGGGCAAATGTAGATGATCAGGTGTGTGCCTATGGACTAAGTATTAATCCAAGCTAGACAAGGGCAGCAAAACATCCACGGATGCAGAAGATTTCTCTCAAAGCAGGGGGGATGAGGTTCTGAGCCTCTCCTCTGTTGATGCCCAATTTCTCACCTGATGGCCCCCCTGCGACTGTGCCTGTCTTAGGTTGTTCCTCCCTTGAGGAATCTTACCCGTCTCTGGCTAACCAGTCATCTTCCGGGGCCATACAGGGAAATGTAAAGTTGGTAAGTGAGAGAGAAGCCATATTGTTTGAAAAGCTTAGCTTTTTACTTCTTTGCAGATTTATGCCCTGTAGCTTCTATGCCCAGCACTTGTCTCGAGGTATCTTTACCACCTGGAGGAATTATGATACTTGGTAAATTAAGGCTATCTTTTAGTTTCTAAGACAGCAGCCAAAGGTTCCATTCAGCTTGGAAAGTGATTACATAACTATGGTAAATTAAAATCAGTGTCCTAAAAGAAATCTTTAATTTGAATTTCAGTTCAACAAAATGGGTATTAACCTCCTGTGTGCAG